ACATAAAGTATATTCATTTGCTTCAAATTAAAATGGGCTAATGGATTTTAAAATGATTTGGGCTTAAAAATTAAAATTATGAAATAATCTAATTTATTCAATTAATTTGCTAATTTGTATAGGAAAAAAATAAAATAATTTAATTAATTCAATATAAAAAATAAAAAAATTATTTAGTTTCGATTCTTGTTCGGTTCTTCGGTTCTTGGTCTAGACCCGAGACCAGACCCAAACCCATCGGTTCTCGATTCGGGTATCCGTTCAGGTATTTAATTTATGAAGAATCGCTCGGTTCGGTTCGGTTCGGTTCGGTTCGGTCCGGGACTTTTGGACACCCCTAATAATAACTAATGAGAGGGTATTGTAAAAATAATTGTAAGAATAAATTGGAATTTATAGACGAAGGGGATGATATTACCGTTATAAAAATAATATTACCGTTACTAAAAAGAAAATATTAAAAATTATTTTTTTGACCATGCAGGTAGGCAGGAGCCTGCTGCAGCAGGCTCCTGCTTGCAGCTACAGCAGGCGTAGCCTGCTGTTGCCCATTTTTTTTTGTTTTTTTTAAATTTGTTTAATTTTTTTTTTTCAATTTTTTTTACGGGCTGCGGGTTAACCGCGGCCCGTGGGGGTTTAACCCGCGAAGCCCGCGTGTTATACCTTATTGGCCGGTGAACCGTCCACAAGGGTCACGGGTCGGCCCGCGGTCCCGATTTTCACTGGTATGGCCGGCCCATCCGTCTTTACACCTCTACTAGGCATGGCGAGTGTTTGGGATCCAAGGAAGCTCTGATACCATGTAACAAAATGAAATGAAATGGAGAAAAGCCCAGAAAACAGCTGAACAGAGAACCAGAAGAAGGAAGAAAATGATGAGAAGAGAGAATCTTACTTCTCGTATATGTTGCTGTTTGTGTATCAATATATATAAATACAATTACAAAGGAATATTTTAACAATCAATAGAAGGAAAATATAATATTGTCCTTATGTACAATTCAACACAGAACAAATAAAATAACAAACTAATTTTCAGCATTAGTTGGCTCATTACTTTTGTTGAAGATGGGTGATCGCGTGATATTCTCCAATACATGAAGCCTTTTTTGGTTTAAAAAATTATGAACCAATCTCATTTTGGGCCCGTAGCACGGTGGAAATAAAGTCAGCAGTAAAGAAGCTTGCAATTCCAAATGGCTCTCACCAAACTGTGCCCGCGCTTAATCTTTACCCTCCGTTGCATTTTTTCCTCTGCAAACGCGCCCTAAAGCCCTTCTCTGCCTCCTCAGACGCACTCCACCTTCAAAACGACGTTGAAGAAACCGACATCGTCACCGCCAACTAATCCCCGGAGGAAACTTTAGTCGCCGATAAATTGTACTCCTTGATTAAAGACCATTGTCGGGAAAACCCCTAACCCCTTAAACCCTAGCATTAGCACTTTAAACCCTGCTGTAACATTCCCTACTCTTTCTCCAAAATCTCCGTAGTCAATTCTCTATCCCCTTCCTTAATCCGCTGTGTGATTCAGAAATGCTCCGCCCCCGCCACGGCATTCCCTTTATTCAAGCGCTCGCTTTCTTCAATTTGGCCACGTTACCATCGGAATTGTTTGAAATTTCACCTTTATTGGTGGAAGCCTACAACAAAATGAACCGACCATTCTGGAAAGGTGCGTCAATTTAACGTCTCCTGGCACTTGATTATCTTAACGAAATCGTAAAGTATAGAAATCCCAATTGATACTTTCTCGATTTTGATTCGGCGTTATGTTCGTGCTGGGCTTGATGCGGAGGCTATACACGCTTTTAATAGAATGGAGGATTATGGTTGCAAGCCTGATTGTAATGCTTTTTCTGTAGTGATTGGTATACTGTGTAAGAAAAGAAGAGCGGTGGAAGCGCAAGCCTTTTTTGATAGTTTGAAGGATAAGTTTAAGCTGGACATTTTGTTGTATACGAGTTTACTGCACGTGTGATGACGGGCTGGGAATACTTCTGAGGCTGAGAGGGTGTTTCGGGAAATGAAGACGGCTGGTATCTGCCCAATGTGTATACCTATAGCATGTGATTGACGCTTTGTGTAGGTGTGGTCAAATTACAAGGGCATACACAGTTTTCTCGGAGATGATTGATGTGGGATGTGTACCAAACACGATTACATTTAACAACTTGATGCGGGTTCATGTAAAGTCTGGGAGGACTGAGACAGTGCTGCAAGTGTTTAATCAGATGAAAAGGCTTTCATGTGAACTGGATGTACTGCGAATAATTTTTTGATTGATAGTCTTTGTAAGGGCAAGGATCGAGAGGAGGCAATTAAGGTGCTTAATACAATGATGTGAGCCAAATCCAGTTTCAATCGAATTTTAAGTTGCATTGCAGAAGCCCAGGATGTGAATGCTTCAGGAGTTAAATTGTAAGCCAAACACTGTGACGTATAATATATTGCTGCGGATGTTTGCTGAGTCTAAATCAACTGATATGGCTATTAAAATTGAAAAAGAAATGGACGAGAGTGAAGCTGAATAATGTGAATACTCTCAGAATTCTGATTTCAGTTTACTGCAAAATGGGCCATTGTTACAACGCATACAAGAATCTCAAAGAGATGGTTGAGGAAAAGAGATCGAGACTGGGTGTGCCAGCCTGTAAAATGGTTTTGGAGCAGTTAAGGAAAGCAGGGCTGATGAAGAAGCTCGAGGAATTGGTAGAAAACATGTTGGGCTAGGGGTTTAAATTCGTCCCTTCTAGGAACACAGTGTTCCTGCGTTGATCCGATGGCTAAGGTACTCTCGATAATTTATCATTAGATATTCTATTATTCGAAATCTCGTGAGTTTTGCAGAAACCAATTGCTTTGATATAAGAAATTGTAGTTTTGAAATATTTTTAGCTTGGCCAGTTGCCATGCCAGTTTTGGAATTTCTTCACTGTAGTGCCAATAGATAATTGTTTCCATAATTCAAGATGTTAAAATTTATTTTATCAGATACATTATGGTTCTTCTCTTGATTATTCGAGTTTTAACATTATATCAGGCATCATGGTTCTTGTGTCTATAATTATATGGAATGCATGTCTTAATATTTAATTGAAGATAGTATGATTGATGTTTATAGTGACATGACATCGATATTTAAAATGTTCACTGACTTCATCTTTATTTTCAGTTTTCTTGCTTTGACATAATAGTGCACTTCATTCATCTTGTGGAAAGAAAAAAAATAAGAAAAAGCTTGTTTGCCCTTGCTAAGCTCGGCTTAGTTCCCCTACCTTGATTTATCCTTCCTTTGTTGGCTGATCAGAGGGCACTTGCTCATCACAGCCAACCATCTTCTCTGTTTTGTGGACTGGAGATCAATGTTTTAAATGCTTAAATGCATGTTGAGATCGGCCTCTCAATATTGTCTTCTTCCGTCATTGCCATGGAAATGCATGTGAAGATTTTTAGGAGTGAATGAATTTTGAAGTGGGAGAATGTTCTTGTTCTTATTTTTATAAATAAGACTAAGACTGATTATTCAATTGATATATCTTCTGCATTTTGACCTGCAGGTGTCGTCGAAGTTAATTCAGAAGGTGGGACTTTATGAGCATTCCTGATGCTGGAAGCATTGGGTAGCTTTTGGGAAATGATAGGAATGTGGGAACTAAAATGTAAGTACATTTCTGAAGCTCCATAACATGTGTGATATGAGCCTTACAATATTGAAATGTACGCTCTAGGTACAAAGTCTCATTTCTTCTTTTGGGATTATATTTATGTTACAGAAGTCTAGGCCTTGTGGGAAAGAAAAGTTCAATAGTTCATTTTTAAGTCAATAAATTGGTACATACCTAATCTGATGGATCTTTTTGAGTTAATGTAATCGGATTGCCTACTAATATACTTCTCAGTAGGCAATAGACCATACGTTTGGATCTAGTTGCTTTGTTTGTTCTATAAAGACGTCTCAATGAATTAAACAAATTGAAATAACATAGATTATCCCAAAATTATTTGGAGTAGACTTAATTTATTATCACTTTACAGATAAAATATTGAGACCTGCATACAACCCTTTTCCCTAAAGAATTCTGTGGATGTATTTGATTAATATATTACTAATTTCAAGGATTAATCTTTATTTAAAGTTGTGTGCTTTGACTTGTTCATAACGTGAGTATAGCCCATAGATGAAAACAATGCCAAATTGATGTCCTTTTCTTCATTTATCATGCATTATGAAGTAAGGTTCATGCGTATGTTCCAATTGTTAATAGCCCAATCTTTGCGGACGTCTGATTAAAAATAAATTTTGCCTACATACGAAATGAATATAGAAAATAAAATATAAGTAAATAACCAAACATTGTGCTTTGGGGGAGTTAGAAATTGGGGTTGGGGGTCAAGATGTATGGAGGATACATTTGAAGTGGTTATTTTGGAGCGTTATTCAAGGGTTTCTTCAATTTTCTAACTTTTTATTTTTGGTAAGGGGACAAGATCAAAATTCAAAAGGTCAAATAGTAAATCAGAGAATACATTTGAAGTGGCTATTTTGGAGCATTATTCAAGGGTTTCTTTAATTTTTTTATTTTTGGTAAGGGGACAAGATCAAAATTCTAAAGGTCAATTAGTAAATCGTCAATTTTTCTTGACCCTTTACATAATTTTACCAATTCTACTTTATACATTTCAAACTCGTCATTAAAACACTAATTTGTCCTTATCTTTTATCTTATCAGTCCACGTTTTATTTTTTATCAGTTTCTTTTGTGGTTTGTGCTTTGGCACCTTTTCATGGACCTTTGAATTCTTTAAATTCTTTTTGTGGTGTATGAATGGAAATCTATATATATGAGGTATACTTCATTCCTCAAAACAATAATTAACCACTAACAAGTGAGATCATTCCATATTGAAAAAGATCCATCAAAGTGTCTTTGCATATTAAAACATCATTTGTGTTATACAAGTTTTGGAAGTAAAATACTAGTGTTTAAATGTTTTCTTCTTCAAGGCTTGATCAATCATACAAACCATTTTCCAAGAGTTCCTTTAAGCATAAAAAAAAAAAACAATTCTAAAGGGGTAAATATCATCCGAGGACAACGATCTCATGTTTGAGTCTTTCTACCTATTTTGGTGTTCTTGATTCTTCTTTTTGTTCTCTCTACTCACCTTGAAGGATAATAGTTCAGCAATCTCAAATTATATTTTGTGGAAAACGAACTATCATGGCCACTATCAAACTCATAATCAAGACCTTGTTTGCTTGGATAGATTCGATGGAACGAATTCACTTGATGGCAAGACAAGTTGAAGTTCCTTCTCAAAGCGTTGAAGATTTTCTACATCCTTGATCCGGAGTTGGCACCACTATCAGAACCTACAAATGGAGATACCGATGATGTAAGAGCCGAAAGGCAAACGTGTGAAGTGGATGAATTGATTTGCCACAGTCACATACTCAATGCATTATCCAATCAGTTGTATATGATCTCTGTACCAACACGACAAAAGAGATATGGAATGCTTTGGAGAACAAATACAAAGATGAAGATGAAGAAGAAGAAGGTACAAAGAAATTTCTGATATCAAAATATTTCGATTTCAAGTTCCTTGAATTTGGAAACCAATATGATAATTGAATCAAATGACATGCAGTTCTTTGAGATTTCACTATCTTCGAATAATGAATTAAGGAAAACTCATAAAGAGATTCCTAACTCTAGTGGAACATAAGATGAAACATCTTCTACACATGTTAATCAATCTAGTGAGTTTCGATGAAGCGAAAGAACTCGAATAGAAAAGACTTTAGGATTGGATGAATTGATTCTCAACTTATTTCTATTTACTTAGTCGAGGAAAATGAGAAAAATGTTTTAAGACCAATACCTTTTGTTTTACAAGTGGAAACTGATCCTAAAACCTATAGAGAAGTTATAGCTTCTCATGATAGTATCTTTTGGAAAGATGCAATTAAAAATTAGGCGGATTCAATTATATAAAACAATACGTGAGAACTTGTCAATTTGTTACCCAGAACTAAATTTATAGGTTGTAAATGAGTGTTTAGGATAAAATATAACGTAGATAGTTCTCTTAATATTTTTAAGCATAATGCTATTTTGCCCGAAAAATATGACATAATGATTGACTAAATAAGTGTTGGCTAGACGTGATTGATTGAAAAAGTTGATTGTGTTTTAAACAGTCCAATGATAAATTGCCATGTGGTATTATGTCTTGATTGATTGAAAAAGTTGACTGTGTTTTAAACAGTCAAATGATAGATTGCCATGTGGTATTATGTCAATAATTATGTCAACCATTATGTTCATATAGCATGATTCTATTTTTAAATCTAGATTGGTAGTTATAGATTATCGACAAAAAGAAGGAATTGACTATTTTGATACGTATGCACCGATAGCTAGAATAACATTAATTATGATATTTTTCGCATTAGCTTCCATACACAAGTTGCATGTTCATCAAATGAATGTCAAGACGACATTCTTAAATGAGGATCTCAATTAGAAGGTCTATATGGAACAACCTGAATGATTTGTTCTACCTGAAAATGAACACAAGATGTGTAAGGTAGTAAAATCACTGTATATTTTAAAACAAACACCTAATAAATGACATGAAAAAATTGCTTAACAATTATTTCATTTGGGTTTATATGTAATAGTGTAGATAAGTATTTATATTTGAAAGTATGAGACAAAAATGTTATATTTATTTGCATGTATGTTGATTTTGAGTAATCACATAGATGAAATAAAAGAAACAAATATGTTTTCATCTTCCACATTCAAGATGAATGATTTTAGACGAGTGAATATCATATTCGGCATTAAAGTTACTAAACATAGTGGGGGTTACTATTTAGTCATTCACATTATATCGAAAATGTAACAAATAAGTTCAAATATTTGAATATAAAAGAGTATAGTACCTCTTTTGATCCAAGTTCTAAGCTTATAAAGAATGATGGAAGAACAATTGCTCAATTGGAGTATACAAGTGCTATAGGGAGTCTTATGTGTGCAGTTCAATGCACAAGATCGGACATAACATTTACGATTAATAAAATTAGTAGGTTTACTAGTAACCCAATCAAGAAAAATTGGAAGGCCATTGGGAGAGTTCTTGATTATTTAAAGAAAACAAACAAACTTAGGTCTTCAATATTCTAAGTTTCTAGTTATATTAGAAGGATTTACTAATACTAGTTGCATATTTAGCACCAGTGATAGTAAATCTATTTCGTGTTGGGTTGTTTACTCTTGGAGGAGTTGTAATTTATTGAAAATCTAAGAAACAAACATGTATAACTCATTCAACCATGAAATTTGAATTCATGGCATTATCAGGTACTAGGAAAGAAGTTGAGTGGCTTAAGGATCGCATGAGAGATACATTTGGGACCAAAGAATATATCTTTGATATCTATCATGTGTGATGGTCAATTCACATTAGGAAAGGCTTACAATGAGGTATACGATGAGAAATTTACACGAGTATGTGACATGACTGCATAAAAAAATTAATCAAGAGTGGAATAATTTCTCTAAATTACGTTAAGTCAATTAGAACCCAACTGATCTGTCAACTAAACCTCTTAATAGAGATTTAGTTATATCTATTTTGAGTAGGATGTGGTTGAAACTCTTAAACTAAAAAAGATTCACCAATGGTGGCAATCCTACTTGTCATTACTAAAATTGTAATCAACGGGTTCAAAGGGTAACAATAAGTCGTTAGATAAGTGGATAGTTTCGGCATTATAATTTTCACAAGAACTCTATCCTAATTATATAATGCTAATTGTTACTTAAATGAGGGTTGAGTTTTAAAACTTTTAATGAAGTTCAATACTAATTACAAGTATCTTTAAAGTAATAAAGATGGTTGAAGAATTTCACCTAAACGAATTTCGAGGTGGTGGCACGCCTGAATAGAGAGTTGGAGCTTCTCTCTTAAAAGTTCAATGGATAGGATGAGCGCAATGCCATATTAACGCTAAAAAAGTTTGAGGAATTTGTTAACATATGGCATTTGTGTGTGTTTCACCGGTATTATCACAAGGAATAACTGGTTCAAAACTATCATCATACCTCTAATTTCGATGATGCTTTGTGAGAATTACACTACAATTAGATTATAATTAAAAGATATCTAATCCCTGTGTATAAATATTACTACTTTGCATGTGTATCATTGTACAGTTGAACAAGTTGGGGATTGATATAATTTGGTGTTCAATTTGTAATGATGAATATATTGGAATGATAATACATCCATATGGGTGTGTCTAACAAGTACGGAAACACGGAAAACAAAAAGAAAAGAAAAAAGGAGGAGCTGAAATTTTGGTTTGGGCAATTTTAGCTTTGGGCTAGTGCCCAGGCTTCTCGTTTTCAATAACCTGAAGCTCAAATCTTGGCCTGAGCGACCGTCCTGACCAATTTTTCTGACCGTTAGGTTTGAAATTTTTGGTTCATTTTTTGGCACATTTTCATGGTGTATGAATGATAATCTATATATATGAGATATATTTCATTCCTCTAAACAATAATTAACCACCAACAATGGAGATCATTCCATATTGAAAGAGATCCATCAAAGTATCTTTACATGTTCAAACATCCTTTGTGTTCTACAAGTTTTGGAAGTAAAGCACTAGTTTTTAAGTATTTTCTTCTTCAATGCTTGATTGATCCTACAAACCATTTGCCAAGAGTCCCTTTAAGCGCCAAAAAGCAATCCTAGAAGGGGCAAATCGTTTTAGGACAACGATCTCGTATATGAGTTTTTATACCTATTTTGGTGTTCTTGATTCTTCTTTTTATTCTCTTCTTCACCCCTCTTGAAGTATAATATTCCAACACTAATATAAACCATGTTTTCAGAAAATAGATTTTAGAAAAGTATGGCAAGCATGTTCCTAGTTGAAAGTTCAAACCTTTTGAGTGTAAATTTTAATTGGTAATAGCAAGAATATATGATGCACAAAACCAACCAATATTGAATATTCTTGCAATATCTTCTACGTATCTACTCTGCTCAAGATTATTTTCTCAAAGCATTGCATTTGTTCTAGTACAATAACAAATCAACAGAAAGACGACAAGCGTGAATTTGAGGCTGGAGACGGGAAGGAAAATGAGAAATGAGTTAAACAAAGTGAGTTTGAATTAGCCATATTCAAAATAATTGAGAAGCTCGTCAAGTTTATTAATTTGACCAACTATTTGAATAACGACAAGTATGCCTTTTAAATACAAATAAGACATAAAAAAAAAAAAAGTAAAATTAAAACAAAGCCATTTCTCCCTTTGACCAACAATTGAGAAATGGTCCCTCGAAAAGTTGTTGTTTCTTGTAAATGTCAATGACCGAAACCCATTTCGATACTTTGCTTTGTCTTCTTGTCTTGATCTAGATCTAGATCTATAAATACACGATACGCACACACAGACACACACTTCATTGCAATGGAGAAGCCAAAGTTAAAGAACAAGATGTTAAAATTTCTACCAAAAGCACTTTCTTTTCAAAACCCTCCTTTCAGCCCTGTACATTCAAGATGAATGATTTTAGACAAGTGAATATCATATTCGGCATTAAAGTTACTAAACATAGTGGGGGTTACTATTTAGTCATTCACATTATATTGAAAATGTAACAAATAAGTTCAAATATTTGAATATAAAAGAGTATAGTACCTCTTTTGATCCAAGTTCTAAGCTTATAAAGAATGATGGAAGAATAATTGCTCAATTGGATTATACAAGTGCTATAGGGAGTCTTATGTGTGCAGTTCAATGCACAAGACCGGATATAGCATTTACGATTAATAAAATTAGTAGGTTTACTAGTAACCCAATCAAGAAATATTGGAAGGCCATTGGGAGAGTTCTTGATTATTTAAAGAAAACAAACAAACTTAGGTCTTCAATATTTTAAGTTCCTAGTTATATTAGAAGGATTTACTAATAGTAGTTGCATATTTAGCACCAGTGATAGTAAATCTATTTCGTGTTGGGTTGTTTACTCTTAGAGGAGTTGTAGTTTATTGAAAATCTAAGAAACAAACATGTATAAAACATTCAACCATGAAATTTGAATTCATGGCACTATCAGATACTAGGAAAGAAGTTGAGTGGCTCAAGGATCTACTGTATGAGAGATACATTTGGGACCAAAGAATATATCTTTGATATCTATCATGTGTGATGGTCAATTCACATTAGGAAAGGCTTACAATGAGGTATACGATGAGAAATTTACACATACGAGTATGTGACATGACTACATAAAAAAATTAATCAAGAGTGGAATAATTTCTCTAAATTACGTTAAGTCAATTAGAACCCAACTGATCTGTTAACTAAACCTCTTAATAGAGATTTAGTTATATCTATTTTGAGTAGGATGTGGTTGAAACTCTTAAACTAAAAAAGATTCACCAATGGCGGCAATCCCACTTGTCATTACTAAAATTGTAATCAACGGGTTCAAAGGGTAACAATAAGTCGTTAGATAAGTGGATAGTTTCGGCATTATAATTTTCACAAGAACTCTATCCTAATTATATAATGCTAATTGTTACTTAAATGAGGGTTGAGTTTTAAAACTTTTAATGAAGTTCAATACTAATTACAAGTATCTTTAAAGTAATAAAGATGGTTGAAGAATTTCACCTAAACGAATTTCGAGGTGGTGGCACGCCTGAATAGAGAGTTGGAGCTTCTCTATTAAAAGTTTCAATGGATAGGATGAGCGCAATGTCATATTAACGCTAAACAAGTTTGAGGAATTTGTGAACACATGGCATTTGTGTGTGTTTTCACCGGTATTATCACAATGAATAATTGGTTCAAAACTATCATCATACCTCTAATTTCGATGATGCTTTGTGAGAATATCCTACAGTTAGATTATAATTAAAAGATATCTAATCCGTGTATAAATATTACTACTTTGCATGTGTATCATTGTATAGTTGAACAAGTTGGGGATTGTTATAATTTGGTGTTCAATTTGTAATGATGAATTTGTTGGAATGATAATACATCCATATGGGTGTGTCTAACAAGTACGGAAACACCGAAAACAAAAGAAAAGAAAAAAGGAGGAGCTGAAATTTTGGTTTGGGCAATTTTAGCTTTGGGCTAGTGCCGAGGCTTCTCGTTTTCAATAACCTGAAGCTAAAATCTTGGCCCGAGCGACCGTCCTGACCAATTTTTCTGACCGTTAGGTTTGAAATTTTTGGTTCATTTTTTGGCACATTTTCATGAAAAAAATGCACATTTGCATGAACCTTTGAAACATTTTCATGGTGTATGAATGATAATCTATATATATGAGATATATTTCATTCCTCAAAACAATAATTAACCACCAACAATAGAGATCCATCAAAGTATCTTTACATGTTCAAACATCCTTTGTGTTCTACAAGTTTTGGAAGTAAAGCACTAGTTTTTAAGTATTTTCTTCTTCAATGCTTGATTGATCCTACAAATCATTTGCCAAGAGTCCCTTTAAGCACCAAAAAACAATCCTAGAAGGGGCAAATCGTTTGAGGACAACGGTCTCGTGTATGAGTTTTTATACCCTTTATTCTCTTCTCCACCCCTCTTGAAGTATAATATTCCAACACTAATATAAACCATGTTTTCAGAAAATAGATTTTAGAAAAGTATGGCAAGCATGTTCCTAGTTGAAAGTTCAAACCTTTTGAGTGTAAATTTTAATTTGTAAGAGCAAGAATATATGATAGTGATACACAAAACCAACCAATCGACCAGCCAACGTTTTTATTTTCCTTTAAAAATATTCAAAAAAAATTGAATATTCTTGCAATATCTTCTACGTATCTACTCTGCTCAAGATTATTTTCTCAAAGTATTGCATTTGTTCTAGTACAATAACAAATCAACAGAAAGACGACAAGCGTGAATTGGATTTTGAAGACGGGAAGGAAAATGAAAAATGAGTTAAACAAAGTGAGTTTGAATTAGCCATATTCAAAATAATTGAGAAGCTCGTCAAGTTTATTAAATTGACCAACTATTTGAATAACGACGAGTATGCCTTTTAAATGCAAATAAGACATGAAAAAAAAAAAAGGAAAAATAAAACAAAGCCATTTCTCCCTTTGACCAACAATTGAGAAATGGTCCCTCGAAAAGTTGTTGTTTCTTGTAAATGTCAATGACCGAAACCCATTTCGATACTTTGCTTTGTCTTCTTGTCTGATCTAGATCTAGATCTATAAATACACGATACGCACACACAGACACACACTTCATTGCAATGGAGAAGCCAAAGTTAAAGAACAAGATGTTAAAATTTCTACCAAAAGCACTTTCTTTTCAAAACCCTCCTTTCAGCCCTGCAGGCCGTAGAGACAATGTTAATGCAAACAACCATAAATCCAACTACAACCGAGGTTTTTCCGGTCCGATTATATCCATTATTCCGGCAGAAGCACGAGGAAGAAAATCATCAAAGAACTCCAACTTCGATGAACCAACTTCACCAAAAGTTTCATGCATGGGCCAAATCAAGCACAGGAAAAACAAGATCAGCAAAAAGAAACAAGTTTCACGGCCTGAAACCAACTCCGCCGTATCACCGCCGAAGAAGAAACCGTCAGCCGCTATTCGGAATATTTTTAGCAGTAAAAAGCCGGCCGCAGGAAGAAAATCCGATGGTTCATCTGATGATGACGAGCATAGGGTTCCTGATCATGTAACAGCACCTAGTTTGAATCAGATGAAAAAATTTGCGAGTAGTCGGGATACGTTTGCGAATTTTGATTGGACAACTGCACAGATTGCACCAGAGAACAGGGGATTCTATTCAGATGAAGAGGGAGAAGATGAAATTATTATTCCTTTCTCTGCACCAATATTGCGAGGTGGAGGCGGAGGAGGTGCCAGTGGCAGTAACAGTGGCGGTGCAGGTGGTGGTGGTGGTGGAGTGGCTTTGGAGCCAAGGAAAGAAATTAATATATGGAAGAGAAGAACCATGGCACAACCTCAGCCTCTCCAATTAAACACGTACGATTAGATACCTTTGAAAATAATTTCTTTGCCATAAATATGTGTAATATAAATACATATAAACAAGCATTTTAATCTTTAGGAGCAGAGGTTGTGTAAAATTGTTTTCTTCTATAGAATTAGATCATACCTTAGGCGTCGGATTTTGGAGCATCAGCGATGAATTTTCATCGTTGAATAAATAAGTATAGATAGGTAAATTAATAAACACACAATTTAGATTTTTTATTTTTTGGGAGCAGAAATTAAATGGTTGATTGTTGTCTAAAAATGTTTGCTACATATTTTATTTTTCAATATACTCGATTTTCTTCTTTAGTGACAAATTTTGGAGCATTGGCGAAGAAATTCGTCATTCAGATAAATGTATTTATGAAGATATGTTTGCTACATGCATTTTTGTAAATAAGATATATAAAGACATGTTTGCTACATATATTTTTTAGTTTATTTTTACGTGACGAATTTTAGAGTAGGGCTGTCAGTGGGTCAAACAAGGGATATAAAGCAATTTGACTATTATTGATCAAGAACGTCGCTTCTTCTTATGTATGGTTAAATAGCTTTTAATTGAACGTTTGATCAAACAAGGGAACATAAGCAATTTGACTATTATTATAAAATAGATGGTATAGTGAAAGTAAATAAATAAATAAATTAAGCCCATAGTATAGATTATAATTGCAAGTTGAGTAAAGCTACTTAGCATTAATTAATTATTCAAATTATGCACGCAATATTACTTTGCTTTTATCTTATTGTCGGCCATCAATTTTTCAGTGTGAAGCCAGCTGCCAAAATTGAAATTTTGACAATTTATTATGAACACAAAGACCAATTTTTTATTTTATTTTTTTTAGAATTTTCATGCTTAATCTCTTCAGCCAGCAAATTCCAGAATGATTAATGTAGAAGAAGCTGGTAGAAAATTTGAAATAAAAAGCAAGCCGGCCTGTATTTTTCAATGAATAGAAACTTTATACGTTGAAGTCAGCACGTAAATGATAGATGAATTCAGTCGGCATATAACCCGCCCATTTTGGTAAGAAAAATGTAGTTTCGAATATTGATTTTTTTTAAGAATGTATAATTAAAAAAAAAAAAAATGTAACGCCCAAAAATTTCACGAACAATGAAGTGTTACAAAATTTTCGATTTCTTTACGGAACAATAACATGACATTCTTTTAATAAAAATAACTGGAATATGAAAACATAATCAGAAAATAATAATTGTTTTGAACAAATAAAATTTGACCAATAATTTAAAGGAAAAAAATGAACTTAATAAACTTAATATTTTATCTTTTCGATCACCATTGACAGTTCGCTACACCATCCCACCACAGTTCCAATTGACCTGATCTAGCATGTAAAATTTTGTAAGAGTGAACATTTTAAAAACACCCAATAAGATACGTGCATTTTTCATATACAATTACATAACAATAACATAAACAATTCATACCACATTTCTTTTTATGAAGTATATCGGTGACCATGCGAGATATCCATCATTTCTCATTTTGAATTCCCGAAGGATTTCAAATTTCGTTATGTCGAACCCGAAGTCCCACTGGCAATTCATGCATAAATTACTGAATATAAAAGTATAAGCAAACGAACAACTTGAACAAAAAATATCTTACCTTGATGGATCAAACGAGCTTTTGTTAATAAAAATATACTTAGAATTTACAACAGTTTTATATGAAAACTGCTTTGTAAAATTCTGTGGTAGTGAATTATGAGACATTATAAAATTTTGTAAGAGTGAACATTTTAAAAACACCCAATATGAAAACTGCTTTATAGTTGAAAAATTTAGTGGTTGAGTTATAGTGAAATTGTGATGGAAAATCGAATTTATCACATTTGATAAAATTGAATTGCTAGTAAACAAATCACAAGGTGACGTGTACAAAATACTTATCACAACAAAAATGTGGTTACAACTTGACTTTAAATAGAATTCTAAAAACAAAAATAACAATTATTCATTTACGTGACTATCCATTCCAATTAACTTTGATTTTGAAAAAAAATAAAAAATTACAATTTAAGGCAAAAATCTTTCGACCTCGATAACTTGGGTCTCGCTTATCCAAAATTATTTTTTCTTGAGCCTAATTTACATAATTAAAAACGAGCTATCCAACGAGACCCATATTGATATACTTTGACATGTTCATAATAGTATATAACATCAATTAAGAAAACTCATAATCATGTTAAAAGAATGACATTTTATTTCATACTTTGGATCAATTGGAGAGTGATTGAGTAGTGAGCGTTGCATGCCAACGATTCTTCACCTCATTACATGTTTAAAACTTTAAATTTTCACAATGTCCGTAAACTCCTAATATTTATGAAAATGGTGATGTTTTGTAATCTCTAAAAGTAGGATTTTCTCAAAAACGAAGTTAAAAAAATAAAAAATAATAATAATAATAATAATTTTTTTTTTTAATTTTGAAAGGTTTGAAATATTGTATTTCATCTCGTTAATTTGAATAATGAGTAATCAAAAGACTTCCAGATGAGGAGGGAGGTCACAATAGACCGCTTAAATCCCAGACTCTTCTTAGACAATTTAGATATTTTTGACAAAGCCTTTCAATTTTTCAATTACGCAAATCAACAAAAACTCTAACAATAAATCGAACAAAAAAATTTTTTATTTCTCGTCACCGAACAATTTTTTTTTCCAAAACGCAAGTTATGAAAAATGCATATGGGTCTACAGGAAATTAAACCTTTGCTCTGATACCAAACTGTAACGCCCCAAAATTTCACGAACAATGTAGTGTTACAAAATTTTCGATTTCTTTGCGAAGCAATAACATGACATTCTTTTAATAAAAATAACTGGAATATGACAACATAATCATAAAATAATAATTGTTTTAAACAAATAAAATTTGACCAATAATTTAAAGGAAAAAAATGAACTTAATAAACTTAATATTTTATCATTTCGATCACCCGGCAGTCCGCTGTACCATCCCGCCACAGTTCCAATCGACCCGAACTAGCATGTAAAATTTTGTAAAGGTGAGTATTTTAAAAATACTCAGTAAGATACGTACAATTTTCATACGCAATTACATAACAATAACATAGACAATTCATACCACATTTCTCTTTATGGAGTATATCGGTGACCACGCGAGATAACCATCATTTCTCATTTCTTATTTTGAATTGCCGAAAGATTTCACATTTCGTTAGGTCGAACCCGAAGGCCCTCTGGCAATTCATGCATAAATTACTGAATATAAAAGTATAAGGAAACGAACAACTTGCACAAAAAATCTTACCTTGATGGATCAAACGAGCTTTTGATAATAAAAATATACTTAGAATTTATAGCTGCTTTATATGAAAACTGCTGTTTAAAACTCTGTGGTTGTGAATTATGGGACATTGACACACCATTTATAGCTGAAAAATTTGATGGTTGAGTTATAGTGAAATTGTGATGGAAAATCGTATTTATCACATTTGATAAGATTGAATTGCCAGTAAACAAATCACAAGGTGACATGTGTACAAAATACTTATCACAACAAAAAGGTGATTACAATTTGACTTTAAATAGAATTCTAAAAACAAAAATAACAATTATTCATTCACGTGACTATCCATCCCAATTAACTTTGATTTTGAAAAAAAATAAAAAATAATGAATTACAATTTAAGGAAAAATCTTTCGACTTCACTTTACATGATTAAAAACGAGCTATCAAACGAGATCCATATTGATATACTTCCAGTTGCTTTAACAATATCTAAAAAATGTAGCCCAAAATCGAAATTAATACATATATCACTTTAGTTCCTCAATTTTTTTTAAAAAAATAAAATATGGCATGTAAACTAATTAAATTCTATTCTAAAAATTCCAGGGTGTTACAAATTTTTTTCGATTTACATGTAAAATTATTTTATGAAAAAAAAAAAATAGTTAAAAATGAGTTTTTTTTTTTTTTGTAAAAATGGAGACCAAACATAGGCAAGAAGAAATATGATAGCAGCAAAATTAAAAAAAAAAAACGCGAATAGACACGCAAAGAAAGTGGTGAAAGAATTGTTTTCACTTAGTGAATGAATAAATCTTTACAATCAATTACATATAGAATCAGTAATAAAAATCTAGAAGAAAAAAAATCTATGTTACCTGCTATACAAAACAAACTAAATCTGATTGACTATTGAAAAATCATCCAACCATATAGATGGTAATAGAAAATGATTCCATTTGCCCCACTTGGAGAATATTCTTCTATCCTCTATCATCATAATCCCTTGCATATACCAGAGGATGGTTTCCTTCCTGCTAATCCTGATTGCCACTTTGGATTAGTTGGTGCCAACACATTGGCACTGTTGATCTTGCATCAATTGGTAAAGTTGAGCTTGATATTTTAACATTCCCCGCAAGATGGAGAGTTGATGTCAATAACTTCAATCATGTCCATATGCTGATAAAACTGAACAATAAGATATTTTCAATTTGAGAGCTGCTACTAACATGTTATGTAATTACACTTCCTTCGTGAATCTTGTCACATATTAAGTGGAAGTCCAATACTATGTGCTTTGTTCTCTCATGGAAAACTAGGTTTGCTACTATGTATAAAGTGGATTTGTTTTCGCAGAACAAAGTAACAGCTTGTGAATGATCAACCTTTAAGTCTTGAAACAAATATATGAGCGAACTTAACTCACAACATACATTTTTCATGGCCCTATATTCTGCCTGTGCTAAGGACCTAGATATTGTATCTTGTTTATTTGATTTCCAAGATATCAAAGAGGATTCAACAAAAACATAATAACCTATTATACTCCTTCACGCACCGGAAAGGCTCCCCAATCTTAATCACTGTAGGCATTGAGTTTCAAATCTGAATTAACAGGAATAACAACCTTTATCTTATATTTTAAAACTTTGTGAGTGGCACTTAAAATGGGAAATCCAGGGGTGTTCATAAACTGACTC